CTGCTGTGGTGATTTTCATGATCGTTACTTCCACCCGCTTTGAATATGCATCAACAATTATTAGAAATGTTTGCCCCTGCATTGGCCTTGCCAGGTCTATATGTATTCTAGACCAGGAGTCGCCAACCTTTTGGACCTCAGGGACCACCAAACTCATAATTTTAGATCCCAGGGACCACTAACCGGTTCTGTGGGCATGGCCTAATTTGTGGGTGTGGCTTGGTGGTCATGTGACTGGCTGAGCATGTCTTGTATGAAAATATTATAAATATTCATATAAATATTGCTTTTTTATATATAAAAGGGCATCTTTTACCCAAAATCAGGCAAAGTAGGCAGATTGAGTTGCTCACAGAATCAGATTCATTCAGAGATCTATCTATCTGCCATTGGCTAGCTCAGTCTGTTACATAAAATTTGCTTGCAAGCAAACTCACAAAATTAACTCACAACACACCATGCATGTAAATATTGATTTTTTTATTTAAAAAAGAGCAACTTTTACCCAAAATCAGGCAAAGCAGGCAGATTGAGTTGCTCACAGAATCATTCACTGATCTATCTATCTGCCATTGGCTAGCTCAGTCTCTCAAATTTGCTTGCGAGTCTGCACTGAATTTACTTGCAAGCAAAACTTCAGTCCTAAGGGAGGTTCGGCTATGCTGAGCCAAAGATCTAAAGACTAGCTAGAAAGCAAGAAATCCAACCATTTCCTGATTCCTAGCTAATCTAAATCTCTCAGCACAGCAGAACAGATGATGGTCGGAAAAAGGGAAAATAGCAATTTAGCAGGCAAGTTTACCGGGTAAGGAGTGAGTGGGCAGGGAGGGTTCCCGCGGGCCATGTGGGTGGTGCAGACTTGTGTTTCTGCGCAGCCTGGATTAATTGCTTTGTGGGGGTGCTCTGGGGGTGAGATTTCTCTGTGGCCCACCAAAATTTTCTCATGGCCCACCGGTTAGCAACCGCTGTTCTACACCAAAGTGCTTTTGGTGATTCCCATTTCTGAGATTTCTGCTGCGCGGGCTTCCTCTATTACTTCTTTTAAAGAGATGTTCTTTTTAATTATCAGCTTCCTTTGCAATCTCAGATCCTTCATTCCAACTACAATTCTATCTCTTAAAGTTATTTCCACATTTTCAAACTCACAGCCTGCAGCAATATCTCGTAGGTTTGTATGGTAATCATTTATGGTCTCACCTGGTTTCTGTTCTCTGCGGTAAAAGTCAAGTCGGTGAGCCAGTGACAATGTAGCAGAAGCATAATGTTCTTCTAATATCATCTGTAATTCTTTCCATTCCATTGTTTCCACATCTTTGGGAGCAGCGAGGGTTCTTGCCATTTTGTAGAGGTGATTTCCACAATATCTCAGGAATAGAGCCCTCTTCCTCTGTTCTGTTGCATCCTGCAGTGAATTTGCTTCTAAAAACATTCGAAATTGTCCCGTGTACGTGACCCAGTCATACTGATTTGGATCAAAAGGTTCTGGTTGAACGTGGGTAGACATTCTGATGATCAGCACGGTGATAGCAGCGTTCTGTTATTAGAATTTTCTGTCTTTGCCTCATTTCCTTTGTTCTCTTCTAGTATCCCATCCTCGTTGCCAGTGTTCGATATGGGCTAGATATTTCCCATTGAATATTTAATAATAAGGTCACTTTGTTATCTAGAAAAAAAGTTTTTTTGTTTTTGTTTTTAAATGTACTGAACTCAGTTGATGTTTTCCCCTAATTTGATCAACTAGATTTTCTGCTAGGGAGGAAAAACTGGAAATTAGATACTGGTGGGCAGGCTCTGAAAAATATGTATTAGACTTATGAGTAGCACATGGGATTGAACTGATATATTCACAAGCTTCTTTTCTCATTCTGAGGGAAAGAAGCCTAAAAGCAAAAGAGAGTTGAGAGCCAGTGTACTGTAATTAGAATTTCAAATTCTGGAAGTATTGCTGAATAGAATAGAATAGAATAGAATAGAATAGAATAGAATAGAATAGAATGGAATGGAATGGAATGGAATGGAATGGAATGGAATGGAATAGAATAGAATAGAATAGAATTCTTTATTGGCTACGTGTGATTAGACAGGCAAGGAATTTGTCTCTGGTGTATAAGCTCAGTGTATATACAACAATAGTGATAGATCATTATCATAGTCATTGTAAAAATACATTCATCACAAAATATTAGATACAACACTTAGTGATAGTCATGGATACTAAATAAGCAATCAACATAAATCATACTAGGATACTAATTAACAATTTAAATTGTGGGATGGAAGCAACAAGTTATAATCATAAGAAGATATGGTGATAGGTAATAGAGAAGATGAGAATAATGATGGTAATACTGCCTTTCTAGATAGTTTGACAGTGTTCTGGGAATTAGTTGTTTAGCATAGCGATGGCATGGGGGAAAATTACTTCTCTTTAAATGTGCCTTCTCTGTAGTAGCACTTGCCTTCTGGCACAAATTTCTCCCTTAAGATTGGAGCAGTCTCCTTCCTATTGTTATTTAAAAGGAATCTTTAAGACCTGGCTCTTTGCCCAGCCCTTTGGCAAAGCCTCCTTTGGATGGTGTGAGTTTATATCTTTTTATCTCTGTCTGTGTTTCATTTATCATTCTTCTTGCCATTTTTTACTTCTCATTTTTGTCTACTGTATTTTTTTCCTTGTTTTTACTCCTCAGAGTCATTGGGAAGGGAAGGGATGACATATAATTTGAAGAAAGAAAGAAAGAAAGAGAGAGAGAGAGAAAGAGAGAAAGAAAGAAAGAGAGAGGAAGGAAAGAAAGAAAGGAAGGAAAGATAGATAGATAGATAGATTTCTTCATTGTATGCATATAGACAGGGATATTGAAAATTGTACTGAAGACTGTTCCTCTGATTTTCTGCCAAGGCAGATAGGCAATAAGATTGCAAAATTCAAAAACAGCCCAAAAATAGGATGCATGTTGATATTAACATACAAAAAAAAAAAAAACCGAGTTCAGTACCTTGATTTATTTTGGTGACAAGAAATCCACGGAGATTATGGATCGTCCTGGCCTTAATGGCTTTCTCCTTATTTCACTGGGAATGGGAAACTAACATTCTCATGCAGATTGGCTATTTCCACAAAGATGGATGGGGATCATAAAACACGCCATGGATTCCTGTGAGGAACTCATCATTGGGGTTCAGCTGTTAAATGGGATTTCCAAAAGAAGCATGGAGAGAAAGAATGTCTTCACTGATCTGAGGGCTCTTTTTAATTAAATTCTTGTGCATTATGGTGTCTCATTTATCAACCCCTGAAATAATAATTAACACTCTTGGGGGTTTTCCCCCTCTCAGAAAAATAATAACTAAGAACAATTACAGGAAAGCCCTCCTTTAGGGAAGGATTTTTTTGTCATTGAGAATATATGTAGCATTCCTATCCTCCTCATAACCACACTTTATCACTTTTACCAACACTCCCCTCTTCATGTTCTTAACACAGTATTGAATTTTTGGATATTTATTGTACAAATGCCTTTAATTTTGATGCTTGACACTCCTTCGTAGATTATACATTGATAGCATCTTTCATGAGCTCAGATAAACCTTATCTGAGAGAAAACTTGATGTTCAGAGGTACAGCCATTCATTCTGTATTCCCCTTCTCTTTTCCCTATAGACAAGAGAAGGGAACTATTTGTCTGGAGAATTCACTATCATTTCGGGTGGGATATCCTGCATTTTTCAAATTACAGGCCTCCCAGAGTCATTTACTGAGATGGGCAGCTATAGAAATCAAATACTATATTTTTCAGAGTGTAAGACGCTCCAAAGTAGAAGACAAACCTAGCTTTGGGGGAGGAAAATAAGAAACAAATTCTGCCTCTGCCTCCCAGCAATTTGCCTCCTTGCAGCAAACAGCAAACAGCCTGGTCAGCTTCAGCACAGCCTGATTGAGCACAAGCAGCTGATTGTCGGTTGGAATTGCCTCTCAAAGATCAGCTGTTTCAGGCTGCAGGGATTGCCGATGCCTATTGTCGCCTCCGTGTGCCCCATTTCTGACCTCCGTATCCCATTTTCAGCTTCCTCATGCCCCATTTTGGCCTCTGTGCACTCCATTTTTGACCTGTTCTGGGCGGCGGGGATTGAAATGGGCAGAAAATGGAGCGCATGGAGGCCAAAAATGGAATGCAAAGGCTGAAAATGGGGCATGCAGAGGTGGCAATAGGTGATGGCGATCCCTGCAGCCTGAAACAGCTGATCATCGGGAGGCTGATCCTATTGAAAGCCAGCTGCTTGTGCTAATCAGGCTGTGCTGAAGCGGACCAGGCTGTTTGCTGTTTGCTGCATGGAGGCAATTTGCTAGGAGGCAGAGGCCAAAGGGTGGAGGCCGGTGGGTGGGTGGGGCTTCGGCAACATTCACTGTATAAGATGCACAGACATTTCCATCCATTTTTTGGGGTGGAAAAAGTGTGTCTTATACTCCGAAAAATATGGTAAATAAATAAATACATTTCCCATTTTCTTCTGGGCTTCTAGGGCACCATTGGTAAATGTGCACAAGCCAAAGAGGTTTACAGGGAGAAGTGATCAGCTATTCTCTTTGGCCTATCTGCTCCCCCTGAATTTAAACTCAAGCTAGTGTTGCCTTGCTATGTGGCTTTGTTTTCCAGTCATTCCAGGGTTTTGATTGATTGATTATAGCCATTCTTTAGTCCTTTGATAAAAGGTAGGTAATAAATCTTCCGGCAATTAAATACATGCTGCCATTGCAAAGCAATACATGTAGCCCCAAGCATTGGCTCTGGTTCATAGACTCAGTCAACCAAGCTGTCATGTTCTCGGCTATCTATCTGCTAACCACTTTGTGTTCTTTTACAGGAGTTGATGTGTGTGAAAAGCCAGCTATCAGAATTAGGCCTGTCTTCCAAGGGCAAACATACCATTCATGTCGGTGGCATGTTTTTATAGTCCTTCCTGTTAACTTCCAGAACAGTAATGAGTTCTCTGTTTCCTTCCAGCTATATGCTGTCTTCGGGCAATCCTGAAGGTTACTGTCTGATTGAAATGGCTGCAAATGAAACATCTTCTGTCCATCAGAGGACCTCTCTGCCAGCGCAAAGGACTCAGGTGAACTTGCCAAGCAGAACCTCAAATCAAATGTTAGCCCATCTATTTTAATATCTCTTACAAGTGCCCGTGACATAATTTTGAATTAGTTGAGGCATATTAATAATGATGTTCATTTAAGAGGCAATCAGCTGGGAGGGGGATTACCCTGCATTTCCCACTGCTGTGAACAAGATGGCTCTTGCTATAGCTTAATTTCAGTGGGATTTTTATGGGAGAAGTCCCTAGTGGTGGTCTTAAGGGGCTTCATGTTCAGCCAAGACAGTTGATGGATTGCTTACACAAAGCAGTTCATTTATGAGCAACGGGAACTTGTACCACAGTGATGAGGGTGTATATTAAGACTGACACCTTTTTGCAATTTAGATAATTCCAAATGCGTTAAGATGAAATGCCTATCATCTCTAACACAGACTCAATTTTATAATAATTTTCTCTGCCCAACAAAAAACTAGCCAAAGAAGAAAAAAACATTACGGAGCAATTGTTATGCTTTATGTTAAATAAATGTAGAAGCAAACAATTAATGAAATAAACAATTAATGTTTATTTAGTTTATTTATAGCCGCCTAACTCCTAAGCACCTAAATATTAGTTAATTAGGCTATCCTATTTAAGGCACCAAAAATTAAGGAAACACGAAGTTAGTTTTCCAAAAGATTCCTTTTCAAGAAGCAACTGAGCTTCCTTTGTTTTTCTTTGAAGTCGTTTCACTTCTCATCCAAGAAGCTTCTTTAATTCTTCTTCAGAACTAAAAACTTTTCTTGGATGAGAAGCAAAAAGTCTTCACGGAAAAACAAAGAAAGTCCAGTTACCTTTTGAAAAACCACCTTTGGGACAACCCTGACCTGGATGACTGAGAATCTCCATAGACAAAATTAGTTTTGTTGATGTATCATTGTTTTTTGGAGTTTTGCTGCCCAGAAAGAGTAGGTCTTTATTTATTAATATAGATGCATGTATCTGCTGCTAATTTGGGAAGTACCCAAATGGGTAGATTCAGCAATGATCACCCCTCCTTTCCTGGATTAAGGCTTCTACAATTCTAGTTATTTTCATTTTATTTCCTTGATACTCAAGTTTTTTAACAAGTGACTTGTCATGGGGCTTTTTGGTAAAAGTAAAGCATTTAGCTGCTAATTTTCTACTTTGAATGCTTTGGGATATCTGCTGCTTCTTTTCTTGTTGTTTAGACCAGTCACATTCTATAATGCTTTTATCCCCGTGACATTTTTCAGACTTATAAAAAAAAATGGGCCAGACTCCACTTAAAAAAAAATAATACTTTTTGGATGAGACCAAACCACTTGCTTTTCCTGCCCAAACCATTCTGAGTCAAGAAGCATATAAATTTCATTATCATCATTATTATTATACCACACAGCAGAAAAGCCTGGAATGGACTAAAGTCTGGCCCAGGCCTGCTGAAATTTTCTTTCTTTAACTGCAGAAGAAAGCTTCTTAAAAGAATTGATCTAAGAATCGTAATATATTTATGTCTCTATTTTCTGACACTGCCAGATAGATTCAGAACTAAAAGGGAAGATGGCCTGCCTGTCTTTACAATTCTGGAATATGCCACCTAGTGGTGGTATTCAGCCAGTTCGCACTGGATTGGGCGAACCGGTAGCAAGTTCTGGCTGGCCATGCCCCCGACCCGGTTGCCCGGTCGCTACTGGCTCGCTTGCCGCGCCTGCCCAATGCTAGCTCACCCTGCTTGTCTGATGCTCGCCCCTTAAGTATTTCTTTTTTTCCCCTCCCAACAATCAGCTGTTCATATGATCAGCTGTGCCATGATTCTCCTTGCTGAGGTCCAGGAAGGCAAAAAATGGAGGGAGGGGCTCAGCCCCCTCCATTTTTTGCCTTCCTGAGCCCTGGAGGAGCCTTCTGGAAGCAAAAACACCCCCCCCCCAGAGACTCCTCTGAGGCCAGGAAGGCCCCAAGAGTGTGGAGGGGTTCCATGTGCCCCTTCCCATGCTCTGTTTTTTTTTCTTCCTGAGCCTCAGGGGAGCCTTCTGGGAGCAAAAACGCCCCCCAGAGGCTCCTCTGAGGCCCAGAAGACCCAAAAAACAGGTCAGGGTGGCTGAAAAAAAGCAAAAAAGCCACGCCCACCCAGTCGCATGGCCATGCCCACCAAGCCATGCTCACCAAGCCACACCCACAGAACCGGTAGTAAAAAAATTTGAATCCCACCACTGATGCCACCTTGCAGGGGGCTACAATATGAAACAGACAGGAGTAATTTACTTCAGCTAACTTCCTGGGGTTCTTCTCTCAGATTTTCTTCCATGAATAGAAAACAGTACACAATTACAGCCATTCTTATTGGAGCTTTTATCTGTGTGATCTTTTTTAGGTTAGCTTTGGGCCAATATTCCTTGGAAATGTCCCTTCTCATCGCACAAACATTCATCCAAATTCTGGAAAGATTTATGGCTTCAGGGGCTGCATCAGGGAATTGCAAGTCAACACCCAAGAACTCTCCATTATAGAGGAAGCATTGGAAGGGCAGAACATTGACAACTGTAATGTTCCGGTTTGTGACTATCATCCATGCCGCAATGGTGGTACATGCATTAGGTAAGCATAGTCATTGCAATTATATATGTCAGTGCATCATTTGATTTATTCTTTGGCTTGTTTGTTTGCAAAATGTATAGGCTGCCCTATGTCAGACTGACTACCGTTAGTCTTCAATTAACAACAATTCATTTAGTGACCATTTGAAGTCACAATGGCAATGAAAAAATGACTTATGATAGTTTTTCACACTTATGACCATTGCAGCAACCCTATGTCACATGATCAAAATTCAGTCGCTTGGCAACTGACTCATAGTTATGACGGTTGCAGTGTCCCGGGGTCATGCGATCACTTTTGGCAACCTTCTGACCAGCAAAATCACTGGGGAAGCCAGATTCATTTAACAACCATGTTACTAACTTAACAGCTGCAGTGATTCACTTAACAACTGTGGCAAGAAAGGTTGTAAAATGGAACAAACTCACTTAACAACTATTTCACTTAGCAACAAGAATTTTGGGTTCCGTTATGGTCATAGGTTGAGACTACCTGTAGCATTTTTCTATTGAGTTTCCAGAGGTCTTGCTTGATAAGTAAGAGCTACTCTTGTCTTCTCAAGATAGGATCAGAGAGTAAGTTTTCAGCCAATACACAGAGAGAACTAAAAAGAATTGGCCAGGGGTATTTTAGGAGGAATTCCTAATATATGTTCCCTCAAAGTCAAAGGTTTGTACTTGGTTAACCTCTGAGGTTGAGGAAGGGATAAAAAAATGGGGGAAAAGATTTTCAGTTTGTGTCCTAAGAAGCAAATCTGAGGATGAACAGGCAAGAGCCTGTGATTGTGACATATTTATCTTCATGCCTAAAAACAACCTGACATAAGTTTACAGCAAGATAAGTTTAGGGCAGTCCTGGAAGGAAAAATGAAAGGATTGGAGTGTGAAATGACCATGTTTCAGCTGATAATGGAGGATGAGGATTCATAAGTGCAAACTTATGAATGATTGGTTGAAATTTTATGTTCCAGTGAGGAAAAAAATAGGAAGGACAGCATAAGAAGATGTGACTATTCAACAAGCTTAATGCAAATTTGAAAACAAATAGGGAACATACAGAAACTGAAGGAGCAGAAGTGAACTTAGACAATGAGTGCAACATAGCTGAGAAACATTTCTTTACTATGAATGAGGTTATATCTCTAGAAGCAGGTTAATAGCATCTTCAGGTACTAAAGGAGCTATTTTAGTGGAATCCTTATGCATTATCTTTGAGAAATCCCAGCGAGTTGGTGAAGTGTTAGTTGACTAAAGGAAATGTCTCTTTTCCTCAAAAGAGGGGGGGGAGGGAGGGATGAGGTGGAGGGTGAGGTAGGAAAATCCAGCAAACCATTCATTTAAAAAATTACAGATTTTCATAAAGATATGGAGGGTTTGTGCATTTGATTTACAGATGACATACCTCATGATTATAACCAATCTTTTAGAATATCAAAACACTCTTGATAGATTAAAGAAATGTTGAAGGATACCCGGATTGATGAAAAGATCTTGGGATAATTTGAGCCTGGAAAGGAACAAGAGAAAGGCACTATTAGGCATTATAAAGCATATTGTCCAAATCACAGAAAATAATTGCTCTGTTTTACTTTGAACAGATCCTGCCAAGTGTACCCAGTTCTTGGCATTATACTTTAAGAAAGATTCAGAGAAATTAGAACAGATCTACAGGATAGCAGTGAGGATGATTAGAGGTGTGTGAAGAAAGACTAAAGAAACAGAGAAAAGACAGTTCAGTGGGGGGGGGGGAGTGATTTGATTCAAATATTCAAATATATCTTCAATATCTGGAAAAAATGTTGCAAAGAAGATCAGCATTTGTTCTCTCTCATTCCAGAGTACAAGTCACTGATTAATGTTTTCAAATTACAAAAAAGCAGATTCTGTCTGAATCCTGGAAAAACATCCTAATAATAACAGTTGTTTGACCCTGGAACCAATTACCCACAAAAATGGTGATTTCCCCTTCATTGACTCTGTTTAAGCAGAATCTAGACAGCTATTTGTTTGGGCTGCTTTCCTTTGGATTTTGCACTGAGCAGGAGCTCTGAATAGCCCTTCTGGCTCTATGATTCTAAAATATTTAAATATTTTATTCATTTATCCCTTTATTAAAAACCAACAAACAAAACACAGCAGGCTACTCTTCAGCCAAAAAGATGTCTTGGACAGCATGGTCCTAGGAAAAGATCCAATTTCTTGGTGTTGCAAAGAGATGCCACATTTATACTCCTCCATATTTTAGTGGCCATATCTGAAATTATGTAAATTGACTTAGTTCCTCTGATGACCAGCTTCAATGAAACAGTTCAAGGAAAGGCAAGAGAGGCTACCTTCCATCTTTTCTACTGCTGCAGCCTGACTGGAATGGCTTTAGTCAAGTAATCATCAATAATAGAAAAAACCCAATGAATCTGGTTTGTCTGACCTTGTTGGGAAAAAGGCATGCTATTTCTTCATTGCAGTCTAAGCTGTTTGAAATATTGAAACCCAGAAACTCAGTTTTGTTTTGTCCCCCGTCCCCCCCCAAATGGAGCTATTCAAATTAGGAGATTGGCTAAAATATGTCTATTTTTAATGAACAAGAAGTGTTCACAATGATCATGCCATTTCATGTGACATTAGGATTAATCCTAATCCAAGCAATGCCAGGTGAAAATTGCTAAACTCAGCAGTTAACAGGGAGACGGTGCAGGAATTTGAATGCTATATATTTGTCCCAGGCACAACATTTAATTCAAGTGTTTCTGAGAAAACGCTTCTGGGAGGCTTGAGGTGTCCTGTATATATTAGCATGCCAGCTCCCTAATTTATTATCACTCATGGATTTAGAACTAAATTTAATTATTATGTCTGCAAAATGATTATATATGATCAATTTGGTTACAAAACAAAAACAATTTCTAGTAATTTGTAATATTTTCTAGCCTTTACAAGTTAGTTTTGTGTGTGGTGGTGGTGTTGTTTTTCCAAAGATCCTTCTCTTCATTATTTTTATCAGAAGTATTTTATATTATTTAGAGAAACTGGAACATCAGCATTGCTTTCTAGCAATTTCTTGTTTTTTTAAAAAATCCTTACAGGATATGTTAAATAATGTGTTAAATCCTTATATGTTAAATAAGTGATTAAACCATGAGCTAGGTCTTCATGCCATAGCTTATGATAAAATTATTGGGAGTTCAAGGATACCTGGAAGCTATTCAAAACAGGCCAGAAAGAATCAGAAAGCTAAACAGCCTAAAACCAACAAGAGAAATGTTGTGGCTCTGGCTATTCTAAATTTCAATATTTTTTTTCATAATCTTCTTATAGAGTGGTGTGGTGGCCTAGCGATAAAGACTCTTGCCTCATACTTGGAAGGTTGAGAGTTCAATCCTCAGTAGTGGCAGATGTTTCTTTCTCAGAGTGCAAAGAAAAAAAAAATCTGCTGCAAACTCTGTGTGGAGTCAGGAAGGGTTTCTGGTCAGTAAATGCTCAGTTCCATCCAGTTGTCCAGACTCTACCACAAATGAAGGGATTACAGGGTCGCAAAAAGGAAGTTTCATAGTCTTCTTATGTAATTTTAAAAGTATTCTGTGAGAAACCTCTGATGGGAAATTATTATTCTGTCCCTTCTGATACAAACTAATGGAAAGCAATTTGGAAATAAGTAACAACAGTTAATTCATGGAGATTCACAGAATCCTGAGATTTCATCAGAATCACAAAATGTGCATCATGATTTGCTTATTGCATTTATTTGTTGATTCATCGTGTGTATTATGATGAAAGCTCTGCCCCTTATAAATATCCATGCAACGTTGAAGTGCATGCGCAAAGGAGACACAGTTTTTGTTTTGAGACGTATTTTATCATTTCCCCCTTCATCCATGATCAGAAGATGTCCTGTTCTAGGGCAGCAGTTAGATCAGTTGTTAGAATGCTACATTGGACGCACCTATAAACCTGCTGATCACTTGGGGCAATAAGGAGAATGAAGATGAACTTTGAAATATTCTTGTCTAATTGCCTCAAGTCCTGCTATGTTGCTTCATTGAGGCAAAGGGGGGGGGGGGAGTTCCTGAGAGGGATGAGAGAGGAACCTCACCAAGTATATTCCCAGCAGGGTCACCCAAGATGTGAATCAATAATTGATTCAAAGAAGAACAGACAATGATAGAAGGGTTTTTCTTTAATCTTTCAAAGCTAAGTCATACAATATATAGGCCAGAAATCAATAAATGATTAAATGGGAAGGTATCATTGAAATGATTCTTCAGCTGGAGTCCTAAGTATGCTGACGTAGGAACAAGTCCTACTGAATGTGGTAGAATATGCTTCTGGCTAGACCAATTGACCGTTTATGGATGCTCAAAACAAGCAAAACCTTGTTAATCACAATTCTACAAAAGTTCATAAACTAGGCTATACAGCAGGAGATCTCTGAATCTTTTTCTACATTTGTAGAAAGGATTTCAGGTAGCTGAAATTAGATTTAAAGCTCACCATAAATACAACAATCCATATTTAAGCTCAGTCATGTGAATGAGCTTCTGCTAACAAAAAGGAGGCATGGCAATCACATTATCCTGAAAGACGTTCCCAAATCTATTATCTTATGATCAATAATGCACCTAACCATCAATAGGGGCTTGTAATTTCATCCAAGAATGGTTTCACCCACATAATATTGTTTAAGTAGAAAAGATGAATTTAAGATAGCTTATGACATTTTTTTAAGAAAAGACAAATCACAGTTGGGGGGGTCCCATTTTATTGAGCTGACACAACTTTACTCTATTGCATAATATTTCATCAGCTCCATTCAGGCAGCAATATAGGTGTACATTTTCCTCATCAGTGCAGGCATACTTTCTAAACTTCTTTCTTTAGAAAATAAATAATTGGTATTGGTGAAAACTAGATTTAGCTGCATTTAGTTTTCTTTTTATATGAGCCGCAGTGGCGCAGTGGTTAGAGTGCAGAATTACAGGCTACTTCTGCTGACTGCTGACTGCC